GTTTTTACTATTCTACACTTCCATAGAACTAGCACGCGTGTTCTATCTTTAATTTGGCAGGTTGTAATTGAGATATGGTCAATCACAAATGTATTCATATACCCCATAAATTTTAATTATTATAACAAATATAGCGATTTAAGCTTTCTTTACCTATAAATGTGTGTTAATTAAATTTAGACTTATATTTATGTGTTAAAGGAACGATATTGTTTATTATATATATTTTTGGGGTTAGAACTAATAACGTAATATATTTGGGAAAATGTAATGAACGCTCGTTACACGTGGACATAAAAAGACTATTATTATGTGACGACTAACTTAGCTATAACCAACGCAAATTCGCTGAGCCATACACACTTACACATGCATACATAACAGATACATTTTGTAATATGTACTAATATGGGCTCTGATTAGTTATAGATCTTCACACAACAAAACGTAAAGAAATGTAAAATATAAAGCCACAAAAGTGTTCATACACATATGATATCTAGCTAAAAAGCAACTCAACTTAATATTGCATTAATATCATGTAAGTCCTTGTTACGGCAAGCTCGGCGTGGTGAACGTTAGTTGCTGCCCGCTTCGCTCGTCGCTCTCTCGTCGTGCCTGTTACAGCCTCCGGAGAGATATTTTAATGAATGAAGACGTGATGTAGAATAAATACGTTTATTCTCAACTAATACAAAGACTGAATTGAGTGTAAATGAAGGTGAATGTATGACTGACGCGGGGTCAGTCCTCTGACGGACTGCGTGTGTCTCGTCCAATGGTCTATGTGTTACTCCTCCAATGGTCTATTGGTGACTCCCGAATCCTCTCTTCGCTATGTCTACGTCGCCCTTTTAATTGGTAGGCGACTTTCTGGAGCCGGTCAAGGCGCCTTGTTTCCTAGACAAGGTTTTACCTACCGAGCCTTTCCACATACTGTCTCTCTCTCCAAGGCCAGGGAAAGTTTCCTCGGATGAGAGGTATGTNTTGCACATCTGGCAATTCTCGGCAGGGCCGAGGCTTTGTAGGAGTTGACCTGACAAGACGCCTCGGAGGGTTCTGTTCTGCGCCAGAACAGTCCTCCTTTTGCATCAGTAATGGCCTGTAATCTTCTCGGCAACGACAAAATTACTGTTTTTGTAATGTCTGGTGTTTTCGTAATTTCATTATAAGCTTTTTGTAAATGGAATTTTAATGATTTTTCATCTGTAATGTAATTTTGTTTTATTCTATTACTTAACTCTGCCCAAATATGTACGACGGGGTTAAGATCTGCCGATTGGGATGATGTAAAGCATTATTGTGTTATATAACAGAATAACCAATGTTTAACAACCACAGCCATATGTTTCCTATCGTTATCCTGCAGGAAGACCCATTCATTTTTCATGCCCAATCGTTCAATTGAAATTGGCAAATTAGCTAGCAATATATTCAAATATTTTAGGCGATCCATGACACCTTCAATAATTACTATGTTTCCCGTTCCCGATGCTACAATTGCACTCGATACCATTATATGTCCGCCACTTAATGTTGGAATTAAACTTTAGCATCCACTTTCGTGTTATTTTTCTCGAAACTTTTCCCCTACCATCAGATCCGAAAATATTATACTTCCTTTCATCTGTAAATATGAAGTTTATTCCAAAATTTAGAATTTTCATTAATATATTATTTGGCAAATACAAATAAGTTTTTGTTGATTTACTCTGGATATAAACGGTTTTCTTCTCGCTATTCTACCATGAAAACCAGCTATTCCCAATATCCTTCTCACAATTTCTGAATTACAATTCTTGTCCGTGATTTCCACAATGTGTTGCGTTAATTTTGATGCTTACTAATTATTGAATTATTTTTTACTTTGTGAATTATACTACAAATATCATGAGGATTTAATTTTGTTGGACGGTCAGATATAAGTTTATTAGAAGTAGTTTCTCTCAAATTAAAATTTTTTATTAATGATTGTACTGTTGTCCGATTTATGTTAAACATAATAGCAGTATCTCTATAAGATTTTCTTTCTTCTCGTATTTGTACCTCGAAATTGCGGAATTGCGATTATCTGAAGGAATTTCCTTTCATGTCGATATAGTGTATTATATATTATAACAAAGTATGAATTAATTATCGAGGTCGTTTTACACTCTATTTACTGAAACTATGAAACTGAAAGTCTGTATTTTTAATAATTATGCTTTTATAAGACCACCCAAGTGTATGAAGACTTCTGTGACATACTACGTTTTCTTAATTTACTTCGAGAATATCTGAATATATGACGCACATCATGAATACCATGAGTCAATATACGAATACAAACAAATCTTTAATATTATTTATTCCTAAATTTTTTATTAAGGTAGTTATAGCAAATTATGTGATTCGTGATTGACTGTATTTTATTCATATGAGATTTTCATTTCGAATCATTAATGATTTCTTGTTTTCTTGTGATTTATCTTGTGATTTTCATTGTTTAAAAATCTCATAAACTAGAGTCACATTCTAATTAAAAACAATTTAGACAGATATTTCATTTATTTTAATATTAAAATCTTCCATTGATGGAAGCTTAAGCATTATATAATCACTAACGATGACTTGTCTTGTGCTTATTATTGTTCACTACTGTCGATTTCGTCGAAGTTGGTCCTGTAAAGTCAACTTCCTTTGTGCCTTTCCCAATCATGAGATTTTTTTGGAACTATTTATGTGCCTGGGCAGTGCTGTTATACTCATAGGATAATTGCAAAAGTTACTTTATGAAATTAGTCTTAGCGATCATCTTCTAACGGTGCAGTTTCAGTCCTTTAAAGTAGCTTTAAGGTAAATAAGGTCTGATGGTACTTCCAAAATCTTTCGAAGGTAGGAATAATTGTACTACTGTGCTAGATCAGGCTCAAAGCAATTTTCGGAGATTCTTCTTTGTATTCTTCCCTAGTATTCTCACGAGACTGGGAAGGTAAATCATTTCTATTTTAGGTGTACCGTGGGACCACTCAGTCCCATAGAGTAAGAGACATAATTACGGCCAAGTACGCGACCCTTACATTGCGTTCACAACGTTGTCTGTGTAGAGACTTCTACACTTGATTTCGATTGATAACGGAAGAACATTTGTACGACTCAAGTCATTTTTAATGAAAACTGACTTGATTGATTTCAGTGTCCTTTATTTATATACCTTGATAAAGATCATTCCGAAAGAAATTAAATATTAATGATCAATTACTATATTACATAACAGCATTAAAGCAATATGTTGAAATTTGGTTTAAATGATTTTAATTTCAGAAATTACAATTAACACTTAATTAATTGGATTGTAGTAGAAAAATAAAATAAGTTATAACATATTCTATTAAACTTTAGCATAATTGACATTATTTTAGATTTTATTCATTGTCGCTTTTAAGCAAATTTGCCTTTTATTTATACAATTTGCCTTACGATTATTCCGATAGAAAATCCTTTTTGGAACATTCTGAATCGTAAAATAAATTCTCCTTGATTTTATACTTATTCAGATATACTTAAATTACTGTCGAAAATTCTTAATTGAAAATTTAACGAACTATATTATTCCTTTCAGTAATTTACACTTAATTTTGTAAATGAATATAATTCAACACAAATACACTAAACTAACTATTACCTAATACATTACCCAATACAACCCAAAATAAAGATTAGTAATAAAAGTAAAAAAATTAATGACTACAAAGTTAAATAATTTAAATATAAATGTGTCTGTAATGGTCATTTAATGATAGCAGTTGATACATTTCAAATTAGTAAATAATTTCGAAATAAATTGTTAGATCAATTATGTTCACTTTTATACTATTATAAAATAATAGACTACTCTATTTAAGGGCGATTAAGAAATAAAAAAAAAGAAATCTAATATCTTTACAGTTATGCCATATCGTCAAACTAAAGGAACGACAATATGTGTACCACAATGAAATAGCCGCTGCTGCGAAAGTTCCGAATATTCCGCCAGTAATTCAAAAAATTTACCATCATGTGGACCAAATGCGTGAATTGGAATAAACCATCTAAAGGAATTATCAATATCACATAATCGACGATGAAAATTTCGCACTTTGTTGCTGTATGCTTTGTTCGGGCTTAAACGCGAGAATCAAACACAGAGATTCCAATCAACAAGTATATTTTGGATTGAAATCGTTCAATGTCAGCAATTGCTGCAGTGACATTGCTTGTATTTTACGTACTATTAAACGCTAGAACTTTTCCATTTACCGAAACTGAAATGTTAAAATGCTGTTTAGAAACAATTCCAACGAAGAAAAGATCATTGAGTGCGCGTATTCTCCTAGTATTTTGCACACTACTTCACGAATTAGATCTTGTATCAAATAAACATTTACATTGTTGTGAAACGAAATGCTGCAGGGCAGAGCTTATAAGTGATTGTTTGTTCTATAATGCATTTTATACACTCTCGTATAATTTTCAAGATACGTTTTATCGCGATTTGACCAACGAAGATTACAGGAACACGTGTATGAGAAACGAATCAGTTGCATTGTACTGCTACTTTTATCAATTAATAACCAAAGAACTTTGAGAGAATTGTTAAAAATTCTCATTTGGAAGATAATATTCTTCCAAATAGAAATAAGGTTCTGTGCCTAACAGGCCAAATTACTGTCGCGAGTTAAATAGAAATATACATCTTAAAATTTGTTTTCATTATTTAATTACGATTGAGTCCGTGTGAAACATTCGTGATAGATTTCTTTCGACTTTCATTATTTGTGCGTTCCTCAGGTTTTGGGTCTATTACCAGGACCTATACAAATTAACATTGGTAAGAGGGACGTATTCCTTCAGGTCTACTACCTTAGGTCTATTACCAGAGCAAACAGACACATAATGTTAACACTGAGGGTGATATGAAGGACGGTGATATAGCCAGTAGCCAGGGATGAGTTAGAACTAATTGCGCATCTACGCCAAGAATGACCTACATTTCCAGTCACGTGGTTGCGTACGGGTACAAAGAGTGCCAATCCTATATATGTTTAAGTTGAATAATTATTGTATAATTGTGAATTAGATCATTGTGGATTCTGCAAAGAAATCAAAGAAATTTCAAAGTATGGTTATGCGTACTATTTATACGTAGAAATTGTGTATAGCAGTCTAGTATAACATATTAAATGTGTAAATATTATATGAAACACATTTTACATAGAACGCAGTTTATTGTTCTCATTAGAAATAGTTAACTGCATGCTGTACATTGAGTGACAGTTTAACAAATACTTTCAATACAGGTTTATAACTTTAAGTGCAAAAAAATTTATACATAATGTGCTATTTGATCAGCATTCTATAAAAATGTATGATGCTGAGGGAACTATTCAATGGAATAAACATATAGCAGATCCAATTATAGGGAAAGTTAAGGGTGAAATTCATTTTTCTAAAATAAATGAAGTGACTATTATATAAAAATTCACTTTAATTATTTGATCCTGATTCTAAATAATTTTTTATGTACCTTCAGAGTTAAAGTTAAAGCGATACAAATTCACCGTGAATGTGGTATCTGGTGAACAACATGGTAAAACGGAGTAAAAATGAGTACAAGGTGTATTTGGGATGCAGTCAGATGCATGTGCGTATGATAGTTTCTTAAACGTAAGAATTGCACGATTAATTAATTTTTCTATGCTGTATTTGAATGGAAGCTATATTCTCAGAAATACAATCTCAGAAATTGAGAATATCATATTGCTAGTTGTAAAATAAATACTTCCAATGATATATTGCTTACTATTTAATAATTAGGTTCACAGATTTTAATTATAAAAATGTTGGTTACTTCTAAAAGAAATTTTAAACATTTAATAAGCGAGCAGTTGATACAAAGATGGTAAAATTTCTCAGGATGCAATATTCTGCGTGACTTCAGTGGATGCTGTAAATTTTTATTAGAAAATGGATACATACCACTGATTTTGGTATATTGTTTATTTAAAGAACATTGTGATACGAATGAAAGAGTAACAAACGTAATCACGAAGCAATAATAATTTTTTAAGAAAAAGACGTTATTTCTTATTGATACACATTAAATTGTCAAGGCACAGTTTTATATACATTTAAAAATGTATATGATCATGTATTTTATAATGCACATGCTTAAATCTTTAGTGAGAGTGCATTACATTTAAATGATTTTATTCACTAAAAATTATTATAAAATCATAATTCACTGTGTTTTCCTATAGATATAAAAATTCTTTAAACGTGATAAAAGGCAACTGATTCTATACCCATGACTTTCACTTACATTTATTTACCTTAAGATTATTTTAAACTATGATAAATTTAGATTAGATTCATTCATATCCGTTGGTTTGCAGAAATTTGTAACTGCATACGTAAATATGCAACTGTTCATACAATAGTTAAGAATTAAAGGGTAACCAACAGTTTTATGGTCTTCATAAAATATTGGCTTAACAATATAACGATATAAAAGAACATTCATTAGACGAATTTATTTGTGAGAAACTTTTTCATCTTATTGTTTATCCTTACAATATCTTCGATACTTTGAATGAATTATTCAGATTATCTTGAAACTTGTAATATTCGAACAAAAATTCAAAATTCGTAGTTTACAACATTATTTTTTTGTATAAATATAAGATAGTGTAAAGAAATATTTTTTAAAAGTAGTGAAAGAAGAAGGAGAAATAAATAAGTATTTCACTTCCATGTGAAGTTAAAATAATTAACATCGAATCCAATACATATACACAACAGAATGGATTTAGCGTTCCTTGTATTATATGAGCGAATAACACGTATTAAGATAATTTAACGTTACTAAAAGTCAAACTTAAAAGAATTATCAGTGGTTTTATTAAAAATTATGTAACGTGAAATTAATAACGATTTGAAGGAATTGAAAGTGTTGATGCGAGGATAAAGATATGAGATTGAAGGTAATAAAGGAAGTAGGTAAGGTGAGGAAAAGGTGCGCTTTGTCTCAGAGTCGCTACCTAGATTCATCAGTGGGGCTGATGGCAGCGACCCCTTACCCCAGACGCTTATTGTTATAACTACTCACTAGGCTGGACGGTTACCCATCCTAGCGGTGTTTCGCATTCTGTTTGCTTAAACATCGAATATCGTTAGACTTCGACGCTAGGCGCACAGCCACTTGCGGCTTGTACAAGTCGGTGTTCAAAACTCGTACTCAAGGGACTCTAGGCCGCTACAGATTATATCAAATTTATTGAATTACAAAGAAGGCAGACTGAGAGATTTAGATTCTTCAGAATTCTACAGTATAATTACGCTTAACCAAATTTATAATTACGATAAAACGATATTTGATTTCTCGTAATTACTTACTTTATCGAATTGAAAATATATCAAGTTTTAATTGTATATTTATTTGTCACTACAAATATACACAATTGTCAAGTTGATAATCAGAAAGCCAGGAAAATATTTTCCTGCGTCATTAATTACTTCGCAGATTCTTAAAATAGTTTAACGTTTCTTACTTTATAGTTTATTATTTACGTTTTATTCTACACGAGTGACGGAATACTCATCAACTTTGACGCGCGATCGTTCAAAGTATGACTAATCATATTTCGTAATCGATTAACACGTTTTAATATCAATATCAATGTAAGTTACATAATTACGCACTGCAGGGTACAGCAATGTGGTAGATATACAAAGACAACTGCTTTGTTGTTGCTTGATTTCGATTTACTTTCGCCGGACGCCTCATTCTCGTATTTCGCAACAGCATTCTACCATCCTGCCAGTAATAATATGTATAATAATTTTATTACATGTTGTATCTGCATGATACCAAGGACATTCCAACGTTATATATATTTATATTTTCCAATTAATTTGGATAATGAGTAGATAAAGGTATTGAATTAGTAAGAAATATATTACTCAGTGTGTCTCTGGAGATTAATAGATAATGACGTAATGTGTCCCTATAAATTATGGAACTTTTGTACATAATAATTTTGCATCGGACGTACAATTTTATTTAAGGAGCGCAGGTGAGGTGAAACACCCTGTATATGCATGATGGATATTTTAACTTTTTGAATTCCGGAAAAATTTATTTTAGAAATATTCTTTATTATTGGGAATGTTCTAAATGATAGTAGCTCTTGTATCTCATCGAAAAGATCTGACACTAGATTACACTTGCAAATATCAATCTCATTGTGAGACTGGTAAATTTCAAGTAAATAAAGTTTCGATTTGGTGACGTAAATTATTTAAGAAAAAGAGAGAAATGCCACGGTGATATATAAATCTATGTTCATGTCAAAATTAATTTTTTTTCTCATTTGTTTTTATCGTCGATCGCTGGAGTTCACCAAAAATTATTATGCATAATTATGCATGATTACAGCATGATTATGACATGATTATAGCATGATTATAACATAAGTATAGCACATCTCTTGTTTCGCGTTTCTTTTTTCTTCTATGTCTATCGAGCGTGATTGTACAAATATATATTATAATAATTAGATTGGAACGAAGGCTACGTATCAACCATCGATGACAGAAGCTACCACAAAGGCTGTCCTATTGTCGTCAAGAATTTAGTACATTTTACGAGCAAAACGGATGTAATAGCTGTATTTCGTAAACATGTGGTGAAGTATGTCGAAATACAATGAAAAAGATCAAGGGGGCTCGAGCACTTCTAATGTTTATCAGTTTGGATAGCGCTAGTAGAGCGTTTGACTTACTTGGAGCTAACGACATTTGCCTTCACGCCAAATAATAGAAGTTATAACGATTACTACAATAAAAGTAAAATGGTAATTGCTCCGCCCGCTGCGATGAACGAAAAAAACAGCATACATAGTTATCCATAGAAATTATCTCAAAAATAATTCAATACTTGCCGTTTGAATAACAAGCGAGATTAGAACGAGTATTTAAATTATAGCGGTTTGCGAGTTTGAACTTCCACGGTGGAATGAAACACTTTCAAATATACTGGAGAAGGCAAAGTGGTTGGCGGGACACAAATGGAAAACACGGAAGTGTTTTCACTGGTTAATAAATAGATCAAAGAAATACGTACGGTCATAATAGATAAGGGAATACGCAGTATTAAAGTCTGTCAGAGTTGTTAGAACTATTCGTAAGGGTACGCCCAAATTTACATGAAGTAAATTTGAAAGAAATCGTGATCACTCCTGAGATGGTAAAGGATCTCTGTCTTAAAACTTCGAATTTGACCGCATTAACCTTAAGATCATCAGAGGACCCAATAAAACCAGAAATAATAAAAATATTAAAAGAAGTAATGAAACTCGTAAAACTCAGACTAGTACTGACAACTATAACAGGAAAGCCACTTACGTCCTTAAATACAGATTTAGAGAGTTTAAATATTGACAATTGTTATTATGTGGAGACATCACATATAAAGCTGTAGAAAGTCCACGAAGTCTTCAAAACCTGGAGATATATGCACGTATAGAACTTTTAGCGGTCTATAGTCCCTCGAGTACGAGTCTCGAACACCGACTCGTACAAGCCGCAAGTGGCTGTGCGTCTAGCGTCGAAGTCTAGCGATCTTCGATGTTAAAGCAAACAGAGTGCGGAACACCGCTAGGATGGATGACCGTCTAGCCTAACGAGTAGTCATAAAAACAACGTTTGGGGTAAGGGGTCGTTGCCTTCAGCTCCACTGATGGATCTAGGCAGCGACTTTGAGACGAAACGCACAACCTTTTCTCACATTACCAACTTCCTACAATTCATTCTTCCTCCATACTCGCACGTAACATCAACACTCCCACGCCCTTCAAACTGGAAAATAGTACTACACGGGCCGTAATATATAATATATATACATTGAAGACAATAGAAACACAAAAATTTCCTAATACACAAATCCGATTCAGGACTACTACAGGACGGGGATGACTTACTACGTTATGAATACTATGTAAAGCGTAAAACTGGTCCTACCTCAAACAGTATTCTGCTCGTTCAGCTTTATACAAACATCAAAATCCGGGCTTTCAGATTTTGTGGTTGGGTATCGAAGAGGTACATTTTAGGTTTAGATCAGGTTTAGGTTGTGGAGCCGAGATATGAGCAAGTTTATCTGTTCTCAAATCAAAAACCTTGTAATTGATGATTCATATAAGGCCTACTCGTAAGCCGTGTCTCTTCAATGAAGCTGAAGACTTGTACGAATTAAATGTTCAATTTACCTCATCACTCCGTGGTCCTCACTGGGACACTGTGCTGGAACTCTGGTTCCGGGAGCAGTGTGGGAATGAGTAAGCTGTCGATGGGCGTGTAGGCGGTTTCACTTGAAACAAAGATTAAAATTACGTATACATGAAGGGGAGTAAAGAAGGACAGGCGCAGGTAATTTTTGAGACTCCAGGCCCGTCGCAGGGGTGATGATCGAGCAGGTCCACTCAGCGTCGACATTGGACGACTGCAAGAAATCTGCGTGTGGGGTGGACCAGAGGCCGCACATACACAGGTCGACTGTAAAGATCCAAATGTAGGGAACCGAGGCAAGTCCTAAAGATTGCAGGAATAACGATACATCGGTTACAGGAGAGAAAGAAGAGTATTCGCGAGATGATTATCAGTGAAGAAACGGATCTGCTGCCCCTCCGGTCTGAGACAGTCTTTAGATATGCAAAAAAAGGAGGAGCAATGCACTGAGATTCTCCGAGGACTCCGAGGAAGGTTCCAGGAGGAAATGGAATGTTCGCAGTATTATGCACTTAGGAAGGGTAGACACACAGGACGAGAACGAGGACGAGGACGAGGAGTGAGAGACTCGTACCTTGGATCCAAAAACGGGTCCTACTCGCCCCTTGTAAGCAGCAAAACCACCCACGACAGAGGAGAGAGCTGCTGAGATGGTGCTACCTTCACCAACTAATTTAACTGGGATAATCCGGACATGATCCTGGATTGTCCAGAATGTCACTGCTGCCTCTGGGAAACTCAGAGGT